TCCCCATTATCCTTTGGTGAATACAATAAAACACCTTCTATAAGTAATGGGCTTATATCTCCCTTTCTCCTGAAGTCAGCCAAAATGGAGCTTGCTTAGTAAGCAAAGGGCATTTTTTTTTTTTTGTATTAAAATACTGGGGCAACCCTGAAGTCCTAAAATTAGCTGGTCAGTGGAAAAGTGAGTGAATTGGGGCTGCATCAGATGGATTCCATCTGCCCCAACAACAGAGACTTGAATCCCCACTAAGTACAAGATTCTTTTGCTGACCACCACAGGAGAATACAAAGATGACGGAGACACAGAAATTACCTCGGCTCGCACTGGGGGTTGGGAGATGCATTTTATAGGCTTGCCTGTCAGCTAGCTGTGACTAGGTTAAATCGATGGAAGGACAGAAAGGGAAAATCCAGGGTATTTCTCCCTTGCTCTCTGCCTCATGGCATCTCTTGTAATGATTGAATCCCCCCTAGGGCAAACCCTACCCTGTTGTTGAAGGCCCGGCCTTCCGGATTCCTCTTTTGAACTTCCAAGCCCTGGAAGTGCAGTGGCTTCCTAGGGTTGCTCATCTCTGGGTTGATGGATTTAGCGCCCGCCCTCATCCAATATGATCTCACTTCAACCTGGTAATTGCTCCTGTTTATTGTCTTCATTCTTTCTTCTCCTATGAAACCAGGTTCCTGTGTTAAATTTCCTCTTTCTGAAGCACCTACAGTGGTTCATGTTTTCTCCTATCCAAGTAACTGGGCCCCACCCTGCTTAGCTTCCGAGATCAAACGAGACTGGGTGCTCTCGGGGTGGTATGGCTGTAAACTGGTTCATGCTTTCGGACTTGAGCCTGACTATACAGTTCCTTTTTTTTTTTCTCTTTTGGTTACACTTGAATTTAAGAGAATGTAGAACTTGAACTGCTGGAAGCCATCTTGTAACCAGAGGAAATCTGAGTACAAAGCCAATGTAAACAGCAGAGCCATTTGAGACTGGATTCAGGTTACATTATTTGAAACCTTAGATTAAGCTTTGCCTAAAACTAGAGAATTCTATCAAGGGATTTTTAATTACATGAGCCAGTTATTTTCTTCTTTCATATGTGAAATTGAGAACTTTTCCCTTCATATAGAACTAAAATAATTTTTTATAGGGGCACTCCTAATGGATTTAGCGCCCGCCCTCATCCAATATGATCTCATTTCAACCCTTAATCTTAATTATACCTGCAAAGATCTTATTTCCCAAGGTCACATTCTGAGGTTCCAGGCAGACATAAATTTAGAGAGGATACTATTCAATCCATCATATAGTTAATATTTCAGTATTAATAACAATGGTTATCATAAAATTTTATATCATCGAATTACTTATATGTTATTTTGTTCATGGAAATTGGTATCATCTAAGATAGAACTTAGTATTGGTTTTAATGAAGTTGGCTTTCAATAGATTATCTGCCAAATGAGTAGTTTAATGAATTGTGAATGAATCAAGATTTCTGTTGGCCCAAAATTTCATCTAGTATATCACCCAAAGCAATAATGAGATTGACTCAATAATGTAAAGGCATTAAAATCTATAGCAGCAACCAAAAAAAAAATGCAGGACAAAACAACTAGGAAACCAAAAGCAAAAATAAGAAAGCCTCCAGCTATGGTATATTTTAAGCAATGGGGCATTCCTGTAGAACTGTGAAAGACCCAAATCATATTTCAATATACGAGGGGTACATGAGAGAGTCTGTTCTGTGTTCTATAAAGATGTTTAGTCAGATGAATGATTACTCCTAATGTAATAACTCAAAATTTAGATTTCCAAGCTTAATACTAAAGTGGGGTACATCTTCACAATACTGGAAAAGACAGAACTTACAGAGTCTGTCATCTGATGAAAGCAGATGAATGGGGCTTGCTCTGCATGTTGCAATCATGTCGATTTCAAGTAAAGCAAGAATCTCTAAAATGTGGCTATTAACCCAACCACCAATTAGGAAATCTACACATGAAAGTAGATTGCAGCTCATTAGGTGGAACCCTCAATTACTAATTGCAGTGGTAAAGGTAGGTAGGATGATGAGTGCACTTATCAAGTAGGGCACTAACTGAGAATTAATGTAAAAGAGGTTGGGAAAGGAGGACAACTGTTTTCTTCTTTATATGGAAGGGGAAAAGAACAAGAATCAAAGAATCTAGAAGAGAATCCCCACATTTCACCAGTGAAGAATATGGCCTTAGAGGGCAGAAGCCATTTCCACAGGCTGGCTGTGGGTTCACTTTTCAACATACTGTCTTATATCTGTATAAGGAAGAGAAATTACCAAGACAAGCCAAACAGACAATGAGAATAAAATGTCCTGCTACCAAAGTTTCAATAAACGGTTAGAATTAAGTGTTTTGTGTGTGTGTGAAAGACAGAGAGAGAGAGAAAGAGAAAGAACACTTCTGTATATACCTCATATAGCTATTTTTAACAAGAGGAACTCAAATGTTTAGGTATATTGTATGCATGTAAGAAAAAATAAAAACTAATGACTCATCAAACAAGATCTATAACACAATTTGTTTTTAAGGTTCTCCAGAGAAGTGTACATATTCCAATAGCAGGGCTCAACAAATCCAATTTAAAACTGCAAAGCCACAGAACCTTTGGCTAAAGGAAGGGGTATGACAGTTGCCTCTAGTTTTAAGTAGAAACACTATAAAATGTAGGCTGATTCGAACAACAGGTCCTGTGAAAATCAATCCATCTAAAGTGTTCTGGGAGGGGCTGTTGGGCATCAGGCTCAATTACCACTTATACGTCAACCTTTTGATGACTCTCTTTGCCCATCTCCCAAAAGCAGATATGCTCTGCGGTAGCAGGAGCCCTGAGCTTACAGTGTAGTCTGGTGAAGAGCAAGTGCTTAGCAGTACTTGTTGAATCGATTTTTCTAATCTGTATCTCTTGCACAAACCAATTTAATCACCTTCAGACATAACTTCTCAAATATCTTTTGAACACCTCTGCCTGCGTGTTCCTCTCATACGTCAAACTGAACACAACCCAAAACAAAACACATTGTTCTTTCCCCAAAGTTGTTTTTCCTGCATTCCTCAGATCAGTATCAGCGTCACACGATAACCAAGTCCAGGTACATCAGCCTCTTAGGTATCTCCTGACACTTCTTCTCCATCCCTTCTGAGCTAGTTTAAAGACATCAATTTTTTGTTTTGTTTTTAAATTATTTATTTATTTATTTTTAGAGAGAGGGAAGGGGAGGGAGAAAGAGAAGGAGAAAACTCGATGTGTGGTTGCCTTTCATACACCCCCCACTGGGGACCTGGCCTGCAACCTAGGCATGTGCCCTGACTGGGGATCAACCAGAAACCCTTTGGTTTTCAGGCCAGCACTCAATCCACTGAGCCACACCAGCCAGAGTGTCATCTTTTATTTTTTTTAAATTGCTGCCAGTCTTATTCCTTTCTTCAAAATCTTTGAAAATATTTTTTTTCTAAAACCAACTTATTCATACCATTTCCTCCTAATAATTCCAATTGCCTGTAAGAAAGAATCTAAAGTCCTTGGCACCTACCAGGACTTTCATATGTGCCTTATTCAGCCTCGTCTATCTCCTGATCTCCAAACTTGAGTCATTCATTCATAACTGCTATGCCCAGATTATCCCAGGCCCTCTCCCATCTCTGGAACCTTGTTGTCCTCTATGCCTAGAAAACACTTCCTATCCCAATTATCCTTCCTCTTGGCAGATTCGAATTCATCCTTCAAAATTCAACTTCTTTCAAACCTCTGACCATCCCTGTCCAAGACCGTTAGGGGTTCCATCTTTCACGGAACTCCACAGACTTCCATTGATTGAGGCTTTACCAAGCTGCAGGGCACTTTGAGGGAAGGACTGTCTTCTTCATTTTTGTCTCTTCAACCAGCAATAGTACTTACTCCCCGTTTGTTTTTGGTGAGTGAGCGTAGGGGTAAATGGGCATGCATGCACGAGAGAGAGAGAGAGAGAGAGAGAGAGAGAGAGAATGAATCATTCCAAGTCAAGCCCCACACTTTGTAGACAGGGAAATGGAGTCCCACAGAGATGATCTGATGAACTTGAACTGATGAGAGAAGGGCCTGGAACTCCAGGTTTTTGGCCATTGATTTTTTTTTTCAATTAACATGCCATATTTACAGTTATTACAGGCCCATCTCTTGTTCCATTTAAATCCAGTCTCTGCTTTATGTCAACCTGTGGAGAGCAGGACCAATAAAATGGCATAGGTCCAATTAAGATATACAAAGTATATAAAATAAAGTGGAGTCACGTATGTCAACTAAAATGGCTATAAGTCAGCCCTGGGAAGCTACCTAAGTCAGAGTAAACACATCTGGCAAGGAGACACACCTAAGATATCTGCACACGGGGTCAGAGTGGCCATGTCTGCGGAGGGGGACCACCCATAGATAGATTCCTGGGCAAATTCCCCACTTGGCATCAGGGTTGCCAAGACACTTATCGAAAAGACCCAGAAGGCCAGAGTCCACCACTTCCAAGGTATAACAGAGGCAGGTTGCGGACCACTGCTGAGACTGCTGAGCTCCACACACCAGCCTGCTGCTCCCCGCCACGCTGATCTCCCTGGGCTTCCCCTGCTGGAGGCTCTGCCCTGCTGGACTGAGCACTTTGTCTGCCCTGCTGCGCACCTGGCTCCGGAGATCCCTCCCTGCAAGACATTGACAACTCCCTTGCCCACCGTGCTGTTTCCCCGACCTGAAGGCTGAGACTCTGGGACTGGGGTTCGTTATTCCCCCATTGATTGCTACGTGTGCGGTATGTTTCTCCTAGATTGTTAGAGTGTGAGTAGGATATCAAGGTATGTTGATGTTCTACTTAGAGTGAACCTGCATTCAATAAAGGCTGAGTGAATAGCATAGTTGTGTGTGTGACTCTTGTCTACTCCTTGGTGTCTGGCTGCTCAGCAGTCGGCCAGCCGAGCAGTTGCCCTGCTGACTTATGGGGCAGACTGTATTGCGAACAGTCGCTGGTGACACAGCCTTTAGAGCTGGTAAGCATATCTCACTGTGTTGGTTAATTTTTCTCCCCTAGTTCTTGTGTTTTCTTAAGGAAGTGCCGACATCCCCTTTTTGATTTTCGTTTTGGCTTGAAGTTACAGGATCCCTTTCCTTCATCTGTCACCCTGACCCCCTTATGAGAAGAGGGGCCTCTCGCTGAAAGTTTTCTGCGTAGGACTCCCATTCCTGCTTGGTGACTGCCTCCGCACAAGACAGGCGCCTTCAGTACAGCGAGATCCACAGTGGATTTAAGGTTGGGAGGGACTTTTAACTGATCGGGATGAAACTCAGGGCAACGCCCTTACACGCCTCCCGGCCACATTCCGAGATGAAAGGCCGGTTCAACTTTCCTGCCTATCGGGACTAGCAGGAGGGGAAGTTGCTGTAGCCGAGGGGCCCAGAGGGCCAGACGTGTTCAGTGACCAAGACTGGCGTGAACGCCGAACTCGTGAACCAGGGCCGGACACCCAGGGCTGACTGAGACACGCGCGCAGGTCTCGTGCTCCCCGCGGAGTCCCGGGGGTGGGGCCTCCAGCCACGCCCCCTTCCTGCCCTCTGATTGGTCCCTTCGAAACAGGCGTTGGCGATTCGCGGCAAACAGTAAGGCTAAGACACGGCGGCGGTTGGCCAGGGGCGTTGTGGCTCTGCACAGATTGAGCCGGGATGGCTCCCCCCAGGGTGAAGTGACCATTCTGCATCTGCGCTGGTGAGTATTTCCGTGCTTGCTTTCTTTTATCCCCGCGAACTTATCTTGCCTTCTCCGGGCTGCCGCGCCTCAGCCTCCGGGCTCGAGGAATCCCCAGCACTGCGAGGAGTCTGAGAGGCAGGAGGTAGGGACCCTAAGCTCCGGGGTCCTAGGCGCTCGGTGATTGGCCCGCTGCGGGAGTCGCGTGCTCTGATTGGCTCCTGGGGCCGTCACGGAGAAGTGAGGTCTGCCCACAGCTGCCCACTCTGGTGCGGTGCGAGGGGCAACAGGTGTGCTGGGGCGGCTCGCGGCAGGTGCTTGCGTGCTAGTCTGGGGAAGAGGTATCCAGCCGCCACCACTCTAGCTTTAGCATCCAAACGGGGATCAGAGCCTGGAGCTAGCTTAGGGTCCCCGGGGCACTCACCTACCCGAGCACTTAGGATATTTAGGATCACTTGATTCTCCCACCTCACCGTTGGGAAGGTTTGATGAAGTCACAGGCCTTGGAAAGAGAGCGACGCAGTCATTTCCTCTACACTCTCTTCCCTATTTGTCCTCTCCAGTCCATGCAAGGCCCAGATCGCCGAGAGAGACGGAACAAGGAGATCCGCGCGGTGCTTTCCTATTCACACCCCTCGGGCAGCAGAGCTGCGTGGGTTGGGGGTGCCTGTAGGTTGCGTGTCAACGGGAGGACAGTGTAGGATGGCCTACTTGCCGATGAGGTCAGTCCTGGTTCCCACCTAATTCTTTGAAACCAAGGGATTGGACCGTGTGGATTTACAGTGCTCGTGGCATATGTGTGGTGGAGAAGCCGATTCTATCGCTGCTAAGTGAAGAGATGGTTTTTGCAGGCCCAGTCCAGGTCAGTTCGGGTTTCGCTGCGTTTGTGTTGAGAGTGCTGATGATAACTACTGCCTCGAGTTAAGTGGTTTGTGAACTGCTCTCTGATCACATCTCATGACACTTAAATGATTAGGAATTGGAAATCGTGCCAGCTGAGATTCCCCCTGGGAGGAGCTTGGAATGGATTTAAACGAAAAAGGGGAAACTCTGGTGTAGAAACTGATTCGTGCTGTCTGTGATCTGTTTGAAAAATTCATTAAAAATCAGGGAACAATGAATTGTAGGTGTCTTTGCTATTTTGAGGTTGCTGGATGAAAAGTAATATTTCTCTCCACTGTATCAGAGCTGCATGTGGGCTCTGAAACCAGACTTTACTGTGTGGGCGAATTTAGGAAGTTATTTAATCTTTGTAAGCCTAATTTCCTGCTTTGTAAAAGAAGGTTAATTAAGAGTTCCTACCTTATTGAGGCAAAGGTTGTTGCGAGGATTAAATGAAATAATCCATGTAACAAACAGGTTTAGTACATGTAGAGCCTGGCACACAGCTGTTGTGTCTGTGCTGTTTAGTTTGGTGGAGAGGCAGGCGCACAGGTGAGGGCAGTGCCAGAGGCAGCGATGGTTATCATTTACTGATTAACCAGAGCAAGGCACTTAAAATAGCATCTAGCTGGTGCTAAACATTCTTAGTTATCGGATACATTATTACTTAGAATATGCCAGGTACTGTGTTCTTTGTGTTTTATTTATATTATTGTCAAACCTCTTAGTAATCATGCCCTGTGGTTGGTATTATCTCCATGTCGTAGATGAATAAACTGAGGCTCAGAGAATGGTCGTGGCCTACTGAGGTCTGTCAGAGTTCCAGTGTCCAGCTTCTTTTTTGTATCACACTACCCTTGCGTTTATTTTCCCAGCATTAAGCAACTTCTCTGCCCAGAGTTGTTTGAAGGGCCCAGGTTCATTTCTGCTGTGAGTATGGGTTTATTTTGATACTTCATTAATTTTAAAAAAAAATAAGAATTTGTGATGGTGAGTCCAAGCATGTGAAAAGAGAGAATGTCAACAATATACATGCTATTACTAAAAAAACTAAATGAGTCCAATCGTATTTGGTGAATTGGTCAGTTCAGAAATGTTTCCTAATTTATATTTTTGGAAAAAACATTAGTTTTTGCTTATTCCCTATATTTTTACTAAACAGCACTCTAATAGTATATTTTTTCCTATAAATCTTTTTTATTCTTCTTTATTCTATTACGGTTGTCCCAGTTTTTCCCACTTTGCCATCCTCTGTTCCCCCCACTCCCTCCCACAGTCCATCCCCACACCATTGTCCGTGTCCGTGGGTCACTCATACACGTTCTTTGACTACTTCCTTCCCTTCCTCTCACCATTGCCCCCGACCCCCCCACCCCTTCCCTCTGGCAGCTGTCAGACTGCTCTCTGTTTCCATGTCTCCGGTTCTGTTTTGCTCATTAGTTTATTTTGTTCATTAGATTCCTCTTATAAGTGAAATCATATGGTGTTTGTCTTTAACCGACTGGATTATTTCACTTAGCATGATAGTCTCCAGTTCCATCTGTGCTGTTGCTTTTTCCTGTAAGTCTTTTTTTAAACAAATATTTTATTTATTTTTAGAGAGAGGTGAAGGGAAAGAGAAAGAGTGGGAGAAAAACATCAATGTGTGGTTGCCTCTCATGTGTCCCCTACTGGGGACCTGGCCTACAACCCAGGCATGTGTCCTGATTGGGAATTGAACCAGCAACTCTTTGCTTCACAGGCCTGTGCTTAATCCACTGAGCTACACCAGCCAGTGCTATATTTTATTTTCTTAAAGTAACATGTCTGCATGTATGTCTGTGTGTGTGTTTTACTTCCTATTACTTGTTGCTGTCTGTACTTTGACGTAACGTATGCCTTAACATACCCAGGAACCATGTGATGTACAATAGGATTTGAGAAAATAGGAAACCTGAGTCTGTCAGTTTTCTCACTTCAAACTTCCCTATTTTTAATTGAAATTTAACTGCCATAGAAAATGCCTCAGAAGTAATGTTTACAAGATAAAGGCAATAATTATAATTGTATTTCTTTAGTATTTCTCCTTCTAAAAACTCAAACTTTTTAAATACTATTACATTGTTACAGAGTAGGTTGTTCTAACAAAAAGTTACCATGCATTTTTTTAAATGGATCACTACTTTCCAAATGAATTAGAATGTAGTAAAATGTAGCATATATACTAAATGTGACTTCATCTTTGATGCTGAAAGTATCTTAGGCATTTATAGCAGTAGGACCATGACATGCTAGGCACTGCTGCGGTGATGACTGGCAGGGACTCTGCCTGCTGTCACACGGCACAAACTTCTCTCTGAGAAAGTGGAGTATTGGCTGTGGTGAACGGCTCACTTTACTTAGTTTTAAACATACTGACTTTTGTTTTCCCTCGATGGCTGACTTGTTAATTCATATTTTTGATTCCCAAAATAAAATTGGCTGTTGAAAAATAATTTAGCTATATTCAAAAGTTTTTTTTATATACACACACACAATTTAGAAAACATTGTGGGACTTCCGCCAAGATGGAGGCATAGGTGGAGACGCTGTGCTTTCTCACACAACCAAGTTTAGAGCCAACTAAATGTTAGCAACAGAAAACACAGCCAGAACACAGAAAATTGAACTTTTCGGAAGTCTGATAACAACAAATTCTTCAGCCTGACCAGTAAGAGGGGCGAAGCCAGCAGCTGGGTGAACGGGATTGCACAGGAAAACTCGGTCAGACGGACTCAGGCGTGCGGATCCCAGGTGTGGGGTTGCGGAGGGCCGACCTAGTGAGCGACCAGCGGACCCAGTGAGGGCGCAGGGTGGTGGGTTGACTGTGGTTGCGCATTCGTGCACAGGTCGACCAGTGAAGGAGTGGGCAGTGAGACTGACCAAGCAGGCCCCAGTGGCGAGAGGCGGCAGAGGGGGCCGCCATTTCCTTGCCCTGACCCCGCCTCCACATACAGCGTCACAACCCAGTGACCTGCGCGACCCTGCCCTGGTGAACATCTAAGGCTCCTCTCCTCACCCAGTGGTGGGAAGCAGCAGAGGGTGCTGTCATTTCTCCGCTCTGACCCCATCCCCACATACAGAGTCACAGCCCAGCAACCTCGCCCTGGCGGCCCCTGCCCTGGTGAACACCTAAGGCTCCACTCCTCATACTTAATGGACACAAACAGACCAAAAATGGCTCAAGAACAACTCAGAGCCCCAGAGCCCATAACTCTAAGCGATGAAGAAATAGCAAAACTTTCAGATGCACAGTTCAAAACACTGGTGATCAGGATGCTCACAGAACTGGTTGATTTTCGTCACAAATTAGAGGAACATATGAAGGCGAAACTAATTGAAATGAAGGGAATTGCACAGGAAACCAATAGTGATGAAAAGGAATCTGGGACTCAAATCAAGGGAGTGAACCAGAAGGAAGAAAAAAATGGCCAAACAGGAAAATATGAAGAAACCAGAAAAAATAAGGAGAGACTTAGGAACCTCCAGGACATCTTTAAACGTTCCAACATTCGAATTATAGGGGTACCAGAAGGGGAAAAGGAACAGCCACCAGTGGAAACCTTATTTGAACAAATAATAAAGGAGAATTTCCCCAATCTGGCAAAGGAAATAGACTTCTAGGAAATCCAGGAAGCTCAGAGAATCCCAAAGAAGTTGGACCCAAGAAGAAACACACCAAGGCACATCATCATTATATTAGCCAAGATTAAAATGAAGGAGAGAATCCTAGAAGCAGCAAGAGATAAGGGAACAGCGGATTTCTCAAAAGAGACCTTACAGGCAAGAAGGGGCTGGAAAGAGGTATTCCAAGTCATGAAATCCAAAGACCTACAACCAGGATTACTCTATCCAGCAAAACTTTCATTTAGAATGGAAGGCCAGATAAAGTGCTTCTCGGATAAGATCAAATTCAAGGAGTTCATCATCACGAAGCCTTTTATTATATGAAATGTTAAAGGGACTTGTCTAACAAAAAGAAGATAAAAAAGATGAACAGTGAAAGGACAGCAAACTCACAGTTACTAACAACCACACCTAAAACAAAAGCAAACTAAAAGGACAGCTAGATCAGGAGGAGAACCATAGAAATGAAGATCTCATGGAGGGTTAGCAACAGGGGGTAGGAGGAGGAGAAGGGGGGAGAAGGTACAGAAAATAAGTAGCATAGACGGTAGGCAGAAAATAGATAGGGGGGACAAGAATAGTATGAGAAATATAGAATCTAAAGAACTTGAGACACATGGTCATAAACTAAAGGGGGGGAATGGTGAGGGCAGGGGAGTGCAGGGTGGAGGGTAATGAAGGGGGGAATAGAACAACTGTAACAGCATAATCAATAAAATTAAAAAAATTTAAAAAGAAAACATTGTAATCTAAGTAACATAATTATATATTTTTGGTTGCATAAGATATAGTAGATATTTTTCTCAGATTAGTAGTTCTATCATATATTGTTTGAAGTGACTAACAAAATCCATTGTATAAGTGTCCCATAAGTTTTTTGAGCAGTTTACTGCCAATAGACACTTAATGTTTTTACATTTTAAAAATATTTATTTTGAGAGTACATTTATTACAGCTGGGGACAGTGAAACAGGAAGGGCTTAGGATAGGAAAAGCCCCAGGAGAGAGACTGGGCTGGGCTCTTTGGCTTTTCCTTTCTTTTTAACGTTTGTTTGTTTGTTTGTTTGTTTATTTGTTTGTTTTTAGAGAAAGGCAGACAAACAGACATTGAATTTTGTTCCACTTCTCATGCATTCATTGATTGCTTCTTTTATGAGCCCTGACCAGGATCAAACCTGCAACCTTGGTTTATCTGATGAGGCTCTAACCAACTGAGCTATCCCATCAGGGCTGTATTTCTTTATATTAGTGTCAGTGTGTGTATGTTTTCCATAGAGTCTTTTAGTCTGTCATATATAAAGGCAAATTGATTTTAAGTTCTTTTAAATTTTTGTA